TACATAATCAAATCATGCATTTATATACCAAGCCATCCAAAGACCAACACAATGAACCATAAACCATATAAGGCACATTATCTTATAACGGCTACCACAGAACTATGTCCGAAACAAAAACCACATAAAACACAAGAATTGTGAATTCAACACAACGCTTATACTTCACCATGACACAACTCACATATGTGAACACTATGATGCAAAATGATAATGATGCGCTAGAATCACCAATACAACATTCCGCACCTGCAATAAAACTATGCTGGAATCACCAAAATCTTATTCCGCACCTGTAATGATAATGCGCTGGAATCACCGGAATCTTATTCCGCACCAACAACAAATGAGTGCCCCTCCGCACCAACAACACATGAGTGCCCTTCCGCACCCTATGGATATCATCTGTCCATCAGTCACATAATGCATATATCATGAATGTCGTGCTACGCACCCAATGCATTCATGAACACAATGATAACCACAATGTACCCATGGCCAAAGTGGCATACACACCATGCCCCACGTATAACAAGTATAGTCTCAAATGCATCACAATGCAATAAAAATGTCTAAACTACCCAAGTAGATATTTAATCAAATACTCTAATAGTATATAAACACATACGCTCACAAATATCCGCAATGATACTAAATACACATAAATATGATTAGGCAAATATAAATCAACCAAATACCCGAAATTTACCCCTTCCCGTCATGCTTGACATTTCTAAAATCCAACGTAAGCCCAAGACACAAATAATAGCAATTCAATATCTTAAATAATGTAAACATGAACATATACCAAGTAAATAAATAGGCTCACATTATCATATAATAAATACGCATGCTTTGTGATCTTATAAATCCTAAAAGACCCAAAGAAAATGCAAGGTACGAATATAAGCCACTCCTACCTCAATTCGAGATGAAAATCTTAAATGACACCAAAACAAAACACTTCCGAATGCGACGAAACTTCAGGATTATAACGGGGACAACGAGGATAACGATAAGTCCTTTTGCGGCAACACCCAAATCCAAACTTGAGCTTGAAACAATGATCAAAACTAAAATCCAATTGGATAGAAATGAAGGCCTTGCCAAGGCCGACATAAAAGTCTTCAATGGTAAAGGGTGAATTAAAGGGGAAGAAGGCCAAAAGGAGGAGAAAATGAGAAGGAGAAAAGAAAAAGAAAAATGGCTGCCACAGTCGTGAGAGGGAGAGAGGAAATCTGATATTTTCTCTCTCCTCAAAAATATCTCCCGAACGGACCCTACGCGGCCCCGAAAAGTGAAAATCGTCAAAACACGCTCAAACAGAATAAAACCGTCAACAAAAAGTACTGATATGAAAAACAATGAACAACAAAAGTAATGGCATTGAAAAATGAGTCCCAAGCAGAAACATATGCCACGAGCAAGAACGGCGACTCCCAGGGTCAAAAACCCTAAAACGGGAGAAAATGTGCGAAATACATTTCTAAAAGTACGCGGCTCGACGAAATGTAAAAATGAATCACATACGAGGATCCTAACCCAAAACAAAACACTTGGCATTAACTTTTGTTAATTGCACAAAGGCCCTTCCACTAAAATATCTCAAAAGATATTCGCACAAATGCCCCAAAAAAAAAATATCTTCCAAAAGATACTTTCTTAGAAACCCCTGAAATAAAATATCTTCAAAAGATATTTTCAAAAAGACCCCCAAACAAATGAAAATGTCTTTAAACATAATCACACAATTACCCCAAATAAAAGAAGTGAAATAAAAATAAGGACAAAGCAAATATAAAATGAAAGAAGTGTCGGGAACTATTCCAGAACACTCAACTCAACTCGAATGGACAAAACCCGAACACAGAAAAATAAAAATAAAATAACAGAAAAAGAAAATTCACAAAAATGGGAAAAAGGAACTGGTCTCTACACTATAATCAAAGAAAAGCTCTCAATTTTTTTTAATTTTTTTATTAAACACTCTAAATCAAAGAAAGTACAATCATATACTATAATCAATTAAAGATGAGATCACACAAAAATATATATATACATATGTGTGTGTGTGTGTGTGTGTGTTTACGGTTTACCCAAATATATTCTAAAAGCAATTATGTATGATGTCGAACCACAAGATCCCTCTTTGTTTCGTTGTTAATTTTGGGTCTAGGTTCTTTATGAAATCATAATGGATCTCATTAATATAAGAATCAAAAGTTCGAGCTAACTCATCTACAACCATAATACGCTGTGATTGTAGGCTAGTAATAAAGTGACAATCTACGATGTAGTCTGATCTGCATTCTTTAATCTTGTCCCAGTTTTGCTCGGCTTCGGCAAGGTTTGCTTCAAGATTATCACTGGTCTTGTAGAAAACCATCCCAACTTTACGGGGTACGCTTGTACCAAACTTGGATTTCCCGGAATGTATGTACTCGTTGAAGCCTCGAGAATAATATTGCAAGTCTATGTAAGTGTTGATTGATAGTACTGCCATTTTCTCCAGCAATATCTGATGAGACAAAAATTTAGTAATGAAAGAGACTACAAGTTTACAAACACACTAACCTAGATATAAGGTTTATATAAACTTCCGAAGACTTAGATATGCATAGGAAAAGATAAATTTCATGCATAAGGCTTTTGGAAAGTAGTTTGTACCAAATAGGAAGTTTAGACAGAACAGGAAACTAAAATCATAAATGGTAAGGGAAGGTTTAACAGTTTAGAAAATTCTGTTTTGGAAACTTTGAAGAAACATACAACGTATGTATGGTGTCCTAAGTAGAAAACAACTTCTAATTCCATAGCCGATCTCGATCTTGATATAGTAACTTGAAAATTACAACTCGATCGGACTTATTTTGACACCGAAATTAGCCAATTACAAAAATTATGTCTCACACATTTCTCTAGCAATATCTGAGGGGACAAAAAATTCTAGGGTTTTAGTGATGAAAGAGACTACAAGTTTAAAAACGCCTAGTGTTTTGCAGTTTTGAAAACTATGCATATAGAAATCTAAAAATTAAACAGAAATACAAATTCCCAACACAAATTTTCTTCTAGTTTGGAGCCGAAAAAAAGGACATAGGGCAATTTGCTTGGTTTTAGGATGGTACATGCGGTTATTTGCCAAATTTATAGTTTATAGTTATTTGCAAAAGGGAGAAAAAAGTTTTTTTTTTTTTTTTTTTTTTTTTTTTTTTTGCATTGTGCATTTTCTCTGATTTCCCATGTTAATTATAATTAGTAAAATCACTTTTAAAAAACAAAAAAAAACAAATTAGAAAGTGCATACATAATTGTATAGCAATATGATACATCCCTTGCACCCAAAGGGCAATGTGCCGAGATACAAAATAGAGGTGCAAAGCAACCAAGGCAGAGGAGGTGCAATAGTCAGCCTTTGTAACAGCAGTTGTGTGAGTCTGATAATTTGACTGTTTCTCCTTTAAGTTGGATGGCAGCAAAATCTTCCTGATCCAAAAGGAAAGCCTTGAACTATATATAGTAGGAGCAGAGTTGGGTGGTGGATGGTTCATTCTCTCTTTTGCTGCAGTAGATTTGGAGGAATTGTTATGTCTTGGTCCAAGTTTTTTTTTCTTGGCTGTGGTGCCCTTTTTATTTTTTTTTTCATGGTGGATTTGGGATTTTCATGACCCTCTGGATTGGATTTGGCTCTGCCATTGTTCATTGAATAAAATCTTATAATCTTTCAAAATAAGCAATTGCTTCCAAAATCCAACGACCATTAATTGATCAACAACATTTTGGTTAAGCGGTTGAATTGTTGAGAGAGCATTAAACTTAACTTTAATACCCAGAGAATGAAAAGTGAAACCTAAAGCGAGTAATTTATATACAAGGCGACCTCGTGTTAGGTATTTCTATACACCAATCTTGATTACAAAACATTGACATAAATTTTTGTTGGGCTACTTACAACAAGTGTCATATCAAACAATTTACAGTTTGAAACAATTTACTGCCGACACAAAAGCATGATTTTTCCCAACTGAACCACTAAGGTAGGTGGCTGAGGTTTCTGAACAACTTCATTGCCAATCTGAATGCTCTCCATAGCCAAATATCAAAGCACACCAGACCGTTCAGAAGAATAATAGCCAAATATCAAAGCACACCAGATCGCTCAGAAGAATATATATTCTTCGTTCAGAAGAATAATAGCCAAATATCAAAGCACACCAGATCGTTCAGAAGAATATATATTCTTCTGAGGGAGTGCAAATCATACCATGTTACATGGGAAATCCAAAAAAGAAAAACACATTGTCAACGCTAAATATTTATTTTGTTCTTTTATTGTAAAAACAAAGTTTTCATGAAATATAGTGAACCATAATATAAACATTCCACTCAATTGAAGTAATAATATAATAAAATGAAATTATTGGAAACAGAAAATTAGGTTTATGTCCAACAAAAAGTGTCAAACACAAACCCCATGCCTAAATAATATGTGCATCCGACATAGAATAAGACATATTATTTTAATATCAAACCGACCTGGATCAAAAAAGTGAATCAAGTGGATAGTAACCTGGCAAGATAAATGCAAAACAAATCCTTAAAAAAAAAAGCTGCCAGTCTTTGACAAAAAAGTGGCTCCTGCAGGAATTGCTTATTCTGCATCAGCAGCTGCTTGTGGTAGGCATGTCCATGCATCGTCACAAAAAACGGCTCCAACCGCCTTTGAAAGACGTGAACGCAGCCTCGATGCCCAGCATTACAAGATATCCCATCTAGTTGTCTAATAATGAAATACTAGTTTATACAACTTCTGATCCTCCAACCTCATATTCAAGATTGCACAATCAATCTTCAGATTTCAAACTAGTTGACAGCCACAAAGTGTAGCATGCAATCAACTAATACCAGAAGGCTTTCAACAATAGATGATATACCATGACGTCCAACTAAAACTTCAATGCATACAAATGACAAACTACAACAGCGAAAAGAAAAACTCATACAGAAAAACAATAATAATCCATAATGAAGTTGAAAATTATTAAGCAATCACCAAGACTAGGTATCAGTTAATGCATCACATAAAGAGTCAAAAACCTATATAGAACTGATTAAAAGCATACATAAACAGTGATAAGCACCAACACATAAATTTCTTGACTTCACTAACCATACATTAACTTTGGGGCGAGGCCTTGGCAACACCACTAGGCTGGACAGTCTGAGAAGTTGGAGCATTTCCACTTGCGTTGGCATCGGTAGAATACACCGGAGGCTGGGAATAACCACCACCATAGGAGTGCCCATAACCTGGTTGACTCCCGGGCGGAGCACCGTAAGCTGGGGGGGCATACCCTGGTTGAGCAGTTGCAGTACCATAACTGGAGGGTGGAGCTCGCTGGGCACCAGATTCTTGTTGAGCATAGCCAGATTGAGCAGGTGGCTGGGCATGGGGATAACCAGGCTGCACAGGAGCAGGCTGGACATAGCTTCCTTGGGCACTTGGCGATTGCTGGGGCTGCGCGTAAGCTGACGGATTTGCTGGAGGTTTTTGAGCCTGAGGTGCTCCATAACTTGGGCCATATCCAGAAGTTGGTTGAGTCCCATAACCGGCCTGGGAAGTTGGGGGTACTCCATAACCTGGCTGAGCAGATCCTTGAGATGGATAAGTAGCAGGGTTAGGGCTAGGCTGCTGACCAGCACTGTATCCTTGTTGGCTAGCAGGTGCTTGGTTGGTATCCCCTGGAGCACCATATGAAGGTGTGTGCCCATCTGGTGTTGGATTGGTCGCATTACCATAACCAGGCGTAGAATTGTAACCTTGCTGCTGATCATACCCTGCCTGACCATAAGCAGGCTGTGGAGCAGTTGTTTGGTACCCACCATAACCATCCTGCGAATAAACTTGCCCTTGCTGGTTATAGCCAGAAGCTGGTTGCTGACCATAGCCATAACCAGTACTATCAGTGGTGGCAGGAGCACCAGTAGCCTGCTGTTGCTGAGTTTGTGTCTGGCTGTAGTAATCATAACCCCCTCCCTGAGAGGTCTGCTGGTTTGTTGGAGCAGTTGTCTGGTCCCAGCCAGCGGCATATCCACCAGAAGTTGGTTGAGGATAAGCACCGTAAGTTCCATACTGAGGTGACGGGCTGGGGTATGCTCCAGGCTGAACATAGCCATAACCAGGTTGCTGCATTGGAGGACCAGGAGGGGCCCAGCTTGTTGGAGGCCGTGCTTGGTAACCTTGCTGAGAATATCCTCCAGTCATTGATGGATTTCTAAGACGATTCTGCACAAAATTGTTATCTCAATGAACCAAGAAACCTGATACAATTCACAGTACAAAACACGTACAGAGAGAAGCAGACAGCATATAGTATACGAACTGGATAAAGCACATGTCTAGAATTATTTATTAAAGAGAAGGCCGCACATATATTGTAAATTACCACTAAACAAGAATATGCATTGCATATTTTTATTAAGAGGGTTTTAGGCGCCTACATACCGTACTGGTTGGTGGTACTATACTCCAGCAGAAGACCATCCTTTCCCTATTCGAAGTGAATGGGTACAAAAAAAAAATGCAAACACTATACAACTTGCATAAAAGAGAATGATTGAAACAACTGCCTTGAAAATGGTACAGGTATTGAAGTGAATCATCTCAACAATATATGTCTCACAAATCCAGTTGATGCACTGTATAATCTCAGAAGCATTGATGTATTACATAAAAAATACAAAGAAGTGGATGCTACCCTCAAGTATACATTCAGACCACTCACAATGTAACGCTTCGTATTTAAATAAATCAATTTTTTTTTTTTTTAATATTAAGCATGAAGGCATATTTGAGCAATCCAGAACATACATTAATTCTAATGAAAAGCTTACTGAACCATCTTCAGGATTTAGGAGAGGCCACTTCTCCCAACTTCCTAAAGAATCTGCATCTACTGAATTCAGTTCCCATGCAGCAAATGAAAACTTCAGTATTTTTAGACACTATCACTCACCAAGAGATAAGACTGACTAAGAAAATAAAATCCAACTAAAACATTAAAAATATACAAAAATATAAATATGAAAACTTCAGTATTCTAGACAATATCACTTAGCCACTGAGATAAGACTGACGAAGAATAAAAATATACAAAATGTAAATATGACCAAGTCATATCACCAACCAAATGAATAATTTCTCAGAAAGATCAAGTTTTTTCTCCAAAATATGTATTAAATTGAGACAACCATTGATGTCTTAGATTTCAAGAAATTCATAACTTGACTAAAAGAACGATAGAATTGAAGTGAGATAATACAAACAATCAAGAAACCCTAGAAGATGAGCTTTCACGGTATGAAGGGTGCTCTAAAATATTGTACCAAAACAAATTTCTTCTCCATATCTGACATCAGACTAAACCACAATAATATATACATATACATGTATGTATATGTACTGACACAGAAAAAATTACTTGAAAGTTCTAAAAGATATCACTTTGAGAAATTCCTGACAGATAAATGCAATCCTCGAATAACACTACAATTAAAGGTTAAATTGAGGCTCATGATCCAAACTGGCATAGAAATAATTACTTCAAAAAAGCTAAAAGATATCACTATGACAAATTCCCAACAGATATAAATAAAATCCTAGAATAACACTAGGTAAAAAGTTAAATTGAGGCTCATGATCCAAACTCATATAATCTCGTTCTTCAAATCTCCTTCAATAACAAGTCCCTGGCTTCTCTTCAAAATATCAGAATAACCATCATAAAATGAGATTTAGGTCCATACCAGAACAACGCTGATGGAACACCGAGACTATGGTGTTCCATGTTGGTGTCACCAATAATCCAATACCCACTAATCCTACAAATTTCCGAATAACAGTATCAGTAATGAGATACACAATTAACAAGCACATTTGAGGCTAGAACAAGCTACAATTCCCAAACTATTCACTTAAGCATTTTAACTATGAAAGGCTTTTTCAAACTGACTTGAATTACCTCAATTGAGAAGACTTAATACCTGCCTCACAAAACCAAATATCCAATAAATCAATATAGGGCTTAAGGAACAACTTATAAATCAATAATTATCGCCATTCATAAAACCTGAAAACTCAGACCAATCCTCAACTCCTATATCCACCATAAACCCCAGCCAATATGCAAAGAAGCAACCAAATAGATCTACCTTTGTGACAAGTATAATGGTCCTGCAGAACAGCCTCACATATGAAGACAATGATTCTGTATTCATTGCTGTAAGTAGATATATTGTAGGTGCAAATTATAGTGCTATCTAACATCCTAATTTGTAATTAGAAAAAGGCACGGTATCAAAAAAGTAACTTCCGAAGAAATAAGCACAGCAAATCCCAGATCTTCCATCTAGAGGTCATTTTGATACAAAGGGTTTTAATTCTGAACCACCCAAGCCCACCCAAGCCGTGAGTGTATGAAGATGCAAGCAGTATCTGCACTCTTTGAGATTATACAAGTTGAAAGCGATTTCAGGACTATAAACATATAACCAAAACATTTGCAAAATACATCGAGTAAGCACTTCAGGCGATAGAGATCCAAAAGCAAAGTCTCAATGGAGTTATGCAAAAATTCATTAGCATAAGAAATTATTTGTGACGATGGAGATCTGTGATAAGCTAGCAGAAGATCTCATCTGCTTCATTCCTGTGGCAGAGCAAGAGAAACGACTACAAATACACCAAAATATAGCTCTAGAAAACTCTAAAACTCTACAGATTACATAACACAGTAATTAAGTGAAACTAAATGATACGTTTAAACATCATTCAATAATAAGTTTAAACATCATTCAATGATAGACACAACTTCTATTAATTTATAAATCCCAGTCATTAAAATATAGAAAATTTAAAGAAGTCATTCATATATGGCAATCCGAACATTGGCACAATAATATTGATAAACTAGAAAGTAAACCAACCATACAGAAAATGAGAAAGTGGTGCAAGTGTGTGCATTAAATCAGGAAAAGCCGTCTATTTGGACTACTAGCGGTCACTTGCAGTAGATATCACAATACTGAACTGAAAATATATCAGGTACCCCAATATTCTATATACAAATTTATGAAATAAAAAAAGCAACAGCACAATCAACACAATGTAGAAACGTAATTGTTAAATGGCTTTTGATGTTCAAAATGGCTTTTGATGTTCAAACACTACTCATATATTATATAAAGAAAGCAAATAGGTTAATTTGAATGATCAAGTACCACACAAGAAAACAACATAAAAGCCATGTCCATCAAAGAAACAAAACTAAAGCAGGTTAATTTATATATATAGATATATATATATATATATAATTAAAACAGGTAAAATAAATACTAATATGCAAAAGAAAAAACAATGACCAAAAGCCTGCAACAAAAACCACCTGCAAAAAAAAACTAAAAAACTAATTCGAGATATATTACCTGTGCTAAGGCACAACATGAATAAATTTCCAAACAGAAAATTCCAAAGATGGCTTAAGAATTTTACAGACTCCTAAGGAAATCTGCTTGCATGCTTTGTGAGAACATCATGCAGCTATATTATTTTAAACAGTGTAAAAAATAGTTCTCTGTAAAAAAATTAAAATATAATAATAATAATAGCATAACCAATTGAGGAAGCACAACGTTTAAATAACAAATAAATCCTTTAGCAATTTCAGACACTGACAAATACTCTGAAACCAAATCCAAGTTTCCTCCTCAGTAAAATGGAATCTATCCTTGAATATTGAATCTTGTTATGGACAAATATTGAAATCTAGCCATGCACGATGCTAACTAAACCTATAAATCAAAGCAGGTGGAATGTGACACATGCTTTTTGAAACCATGACCAAGCTTCCTCTCCCTATAGACATTATAGAATTACAAAGATGGAAACTGGTCCTGCCTTTTGGGATCAAATCCATCTCATCTAATGATTCACTTGGTACAAAGTTTAGTTTGCCTAAGTTTAGAGAAGTGCAAGCAAAAGAAGTGATCAAAATCCGTGTTTGCAAGAATACACCACAATTGGACATACCTCACTGATTACTTCATTAACCAACTGTTTTGCAGATTCAATCTGTTCACTGGTACCATCTATCTGTACTATCCTTTCTGTTGATGTATCACCTGGGGGCAGATGCAAAGGTATCACCTGAACACAATGAGACAAAGTATAATTATACATTCTGACACAAAAACACACTCTCCAACTTATATGTCATAGTATTTGGCAAAAAACAAATCAAGAATAAACCTATGGAAGGCTTTTTATTGTTTTACAAGTGCAAAATAATGATGATGATGATGATAATAATGTAAAAAAAAAAAAAAAAAATTTAAGCCAAAAATTACCAAATAGGAGAAGAAACAATCAAATGTTAAAAATAAAAATAAAAAAATTGAAGCCATTCTGGAGGTATAAGATTAAATGATAGACCTGAATACGAGCTCCTGTGCTGGCTTGCATGTTTTTTATGGTCTCACCCCCTTTACCAATTACAAGACCAACCTGAAATTGGACACGTCAAAATCAAATCAGATCAAATACTGGAACACTTGATTAATGGAAAAATAGCTAATAACAATAATAACCTTTTTCTTGTACCTTGTTGTTTGGAATTTTCATTACAAATTGTTCACCTCCAGCTTGGTGTCCAGTTAACCTTCGAGAAACTGTGCCAGAACCCCCAGTTTCAGCCTGCCACAAAGATCAAACAAAATTAACAAGAAGAAAAGTTAAACCAGATCAAATTGCGCATTGTCGGATTGAATTTACATTAGTTTTGTTTATAGAGAGATAAACAATACACTCCAAAAGGCTAACAAGCGAAATCTAAAGTGTAATAAAAATAACAAAGTACTAGATTCAGTTATTACTAGATTAGATTCAGTTATTACAATACCAAACGAAAGCACTACCTCCGCAAGAGTTTCATTTATCAACTGCTCAGCCTTGGCTATTTGCTCCGGAGTACCCATGAGCTCAACCATTCTGGTTGGGGAATTAGGGTCTGCATCCATGTCTCTAGTGACTTGAATCCTAGCTCCGGACTGAAGCTGAAGATTCTTGATGGTCTCTCCACCTTTTCCGATAATTACACCCACCCTGCCATTCGGTATATCGATCTTTTTGCTTGTGCCTGGCTGACCATATGAAACGGGAATAGACGAAGGAGCCATATTCGAAAACATATGCTTCTGTCCTGAATCTGCATTCAATCAATTCAACATACCTAAGCACTACCAACTGATGCTAGATTCTAGACAACCAATGAACATGTAGATTACATCCACACGCAGCCAAAACTAAAATAAATCCAAACGATTTTAAGCAGTGAATCCAAACAAACAACAAGAGGCAATACAAACAACAAGAGGCAAATACACAATGAAGTCACTAATAAGTATAATGAACTCTCTAGTGATGAAAATTAATCAATTGAAATAATTAATAAGAACAAACGAAAAACAAACAAGAGCAATCAAGCTAATAGACATATACACAAAAATATACATGCATATAATATATATATATATATGAGCTAAAACCCTTACTGTCATTCGAATCGAAACCACCACCGCCATTCTCAACCCTAGGGCGTTTAGCTTCGACGTTGTTGAAGAGACGAGCGGCTATCTCCTGAGCACGCTGCTTCGCGATCTGGAAGTCATCGACCGGTGGGGGAACGCTGTTGTACGACGACGGCGCGTGACCCGAATCTGGTGACTGAGACGCGATTGGAGCAGAGAAGCCGGTGGCCCGCCGCGTGCCGGACGATGGAGGTGGCGGAGTTTGGTCACCGTACTTCCTCTTGTTGGTGGCTGAGTCCGGACCAGACGCGTACTGTACCTCATCCGCCATTGGTCTCTGCTTTTCTGCTTCGAATCTCTGTAAATCTAGAGAGAGAAAGAGAGGATTTCGAAAACCCTAGACAGAAAACGAAGGTACCCGGGAGAATGAGTATTGAGGCGCTTTTATGGAGAGACCTTGGACAAACGCATGAGAAGATCTTTTAGAGTTTGTATACCCAAAGAATGGTCTATCAGTTTTATAGACCCAAAAAAGTAATGGTATACTATATTTCTAATTTATAGTATCTACTATAGTTTTAGCAATATTGAATAAAAAATCTAAATATACTAGAGTAATTTAATTCAAGTTTTGAAGCAAAATTTTAGGCAATTTTAATTAATAAAACACATTGAAGAAAACACTTCTTTTAAAGAGTGTTAATTATCAATGCTTCATATAAGACAGTGATGGGCACACATAATTTTTTTCATATAGTAATATCCTAAAGTTAATTCATCATGTTTTTGTAAAAATAAAAATCATCATGTTTCAAATCAATAATATATATATATATATATATATATATATTGACAAGAAGTATATCCTCATTTGGTTGGAAGAATAGAAAAATAGATTGAAGTAAAATGAGAAAGGATTGTGAGACATCTTTAGGGAATGGATTGTGTATCTCTTATTTTTTATTTTGGTTGGAAGGAAGGAAAAGAGGGTTTTATATTTTTTTATTAATATATCCTAATTATATAGTAGTATATAAGCTTGTAAAAAAGTATATATTCCAAAGGCAAAAGAGCAAAAAAACACCCAGAACTATGGTGTTTGTTGCAAAATGACACCCTATATTATTTTTGGGTGCAATTCAACTCCTCAACTATGTAAATGTTGCATATTGCCCTCTTGTAATTCACCGGAGTGTAGTTTCCGGCAGTACGACTTAATTTTTATATTTAAGGACGAAAATGCCCTTTCACATGACCATTATACCTTCCATTGCTTATAAGACTCATTTGTTGTGAATTTCACTTTAAAGTTAATATTTTCTCTTCACTTCAAAGTTAATCTTTCTCCTTTTACACCTGGCTTTATTTTTGGATTTAATAATTGTGTGATAATTTAATGGAATATAATTGTGATTGCAATGTTAAATCTCCATCTCTCTAATTATGCATGTAATTGTGGTTGCAAATTAATTATTTTCCCAACTTTTCAATTTTCTGCTCCATTTCTTTTTTCCCAACTTAATACAATATATATTATCCGAAGTGAGGAAGAGAACTGAAAGTCAAAATGATATGGAGTAATATAGAAACTGATTTAGAAACTGGTGTGGACCACTGTATATATAGACAGAAGGGTATAAGGTTTGTTTGGATACAAGTGTCCTTTAAAGAGGTATAATATGGTCATTATATTATTTATCGTGTTGTTTAACAGTGAGATCCAAATGAATCCAAATGACACATCACCAGATGGGGCTATCTGCAATAAAAATATATAGTTCAGGACTTTTTTGCAATTTTTGTAGTTTAGGGAATTTGTTACTGATTGGCCAATCATTCAGGAATTCTTTTTGCATTTAATTCTTTATTTTATTTATTATAATTTTGAAAATAAACTAAGTACTCTTTGAAAGTCTAAAGAATATATTTTGACAGTTTAAAACTTGAATGGATAGAATTAGAGAAAATTATAATTCAATTGAATTGGAGTCTTAAAATTAAAATTCCAATTTCAATACTTCATTCACGCTGCAGCAAATCATGACCTTATAATTAATTATATATCCATAAGTATTGCACTGCAGCTGATAGAGGTCAAGACCCTACAAAAAAAAATAATAAAATAAATTGAAAATAAATTTGGATGATAGCTATACTCCAATGGGATAGCCAACACATCAAAAAAAAAAAAAAAAAAAGAAGGAAAGAGAGTTAGATAAATTAATACTAATTGATTTTTTCACTTTTTTGTCTATAATTTAGTATTATTATTTTATTTATTTAATTTTTATTAAAATTTAATTTTTTAATTTTTCATTTTGAAAGGTAAAAAACGATAACACAAAACTATGGTCATTTGCTAATGGTTGAAATCTCATAATTTATCAGCAATATTTTTAAACGGTACCAGATTTTTGGTCCACTGGCAATATTAAAAATGCCAATGCATGTAATTTAAAAGGGTGCCCTATTGTCCTTCTTTCACCAACTAAGCTGTAAGCACGGTGGTCCACACCACGAAACAATTAAAGAGCATTTGTATTAACAGTGGATCAGAGTTGATAGTAATATAGAGGCAATATAGAAAGAGAAGATAAAGATGAGGAGAGAGAAAGTTAGTGTTTGTGTTCGTATAATATCACAGTGGATCAGAATTGCTTTGGGTAAAATTGTTAACTTAATTAATGAAGGGTATTATAGATATTTTACACGTCTTATATTTAATTAGTTTAATAATAAATTAATAAGTGGGGGCTGTTTAGTAATTGTGTCCTTCTGACGGCCAGAAAGTACACTCCAGTGAAGTAAAAGGGCCAATATGCAACATTTACATAGTTGAGGGGTTGAGTTGTCCCAGAAATAGTACAGTGGGGCATTTTGCTAAAAACACCATAATTGAGGGGTGTTTTTTTTTGCTCTTTTGCCAATTCCAAATTATACAAGAAGGAGATTTAAAATGGAAATTAAAAACTTATTGGTTATTATCTTACTTTATCTCTCTTCCCTCCAATTTTGGACAAGGAAAGAAGGATGAAGCATCCATCCTTGCTTGGTCCCTATTTTCATTTCTTTTCACCAAACACAAAAAACTTATTTTATCCACCCTCTCAATCATCCCTTCTCAATCTTTCTCTCCAACCAAACATAATATTACACTTTTTACTCACGGACTCTTTACTCACGGACTCGAACCCTTCCCTCCCCTCTAATAGATATACAAATTATTAGATTTGTATTCTCTCACTCAATTCAAGACTACAAGGTAGATCAAATTGGATTTATACCAAAATCTGAACATCATGAATGCAATTTAAGATTCATATCTTGAATCTAGATAGAAGTGATGTGGCATAGATTTGGCTACATCCTAATAAAAAGGGCATATGCAATTGAAAAATGAAAAACAAAAACCTCATTGACCACAAACTCTAAAAGCATTGATTACATTTTTGGTAAATTTGTGAATTTGGGGGATAAATACAATTTGTGAATTTAGGTTAAAATTTTATAGATCTTGTAAACAGAAAATGAACATGAAGTTTGTTTATCGATGGCATTCTCACCGGAGAATACGCTTAGCTTAATTTTTTGTTTCTATGATAAAATTTTGAATTTTTTGGGGTCAAAATATTGGATATTGATATTTCATAGAGAAGAAAAAGAAAAAAAATACTGGATTCATAAGAAGATAAAATTAATTTTGCAGGAAATGTTTGGGTTACCATGGTGTAACTCCTCGGAATACATGTGCAGTAAAATAATTAATTAGTACTTCTAAGGTAAGAAAATAAAAAGAAAAAGGTAATTTTAAAGTAAGGAAAGGAAATTGAAATATATATAAAAATAAAATAAAATAAAATAACAAAACAGTTGTCATTCATAAAATCAATTAATCATGTATTATCATTTCTCCAATCTGAATCTATTCATAAACGTGTGCATTTAATTCATACTCCATTCTTTCCAAATAAGTTTCCAAATTACATTGATAAGCTATTTTCAAAATAAGTTTCACTTTTGAAATGTCAAGGTTTAAAAAATTGAAGTTTTACCACATTATCCTTTTAAGTTCTAATTTTCTTCTCGAATTAACAGCTACCAAACGCGTCATTAAGGTTTCACAAATAAAGGATATCTGTAGGTGAAAATTTTAAGCACCTTACAAATTGTACCTTATTTCTTCAACTTAAGGAGATCTCTGTAGGTGACACCATATCCACAAAATCAAACACGGTTCAAGTGCACTTTCTTGAGGATCAATATTCTTTCAAACCAAACACACTTCAAGTGCACTTTCTCAAGGATATCCGTAGGTGGCTTGATATCCAATAAAATCGATATTCTTTCAAACCAAACACGGTTCAAGTGCACTTTCTTGAGGATCAATTTTCTTTCAAACCAAACACACTTCAAGTGCAATTTTTTGAGCAATGGTTCAAAGGACTTCCGTCCATCCCCAAAGGTACCATTATTTCTCAGTGATATAACAAAGTGGCAAACTCTGTCAAGAGGAAAAAGAACAGTACATAAGACAGCAATAATCAGGATGTAGATTTTCTTAAGTCCTTGTAATGTTACTCATACACAACAATAGCTTCATCCTCTCGATCTGAGTAAGACCCCATTGATCTCAGACCTAGCAGCATGATAGAGCAGCCTTTGTATTGTGCTGTAGGAGAGCTACAATCACATTTTCTCCTACTTAAAAGCACAAAAGAACAAAACTGTATCTCTTTTATGGAAGAAGGTAATTTAGTAAATATGTGATGTCCACCTCGGAGCAAAAGACAGGTTACTTCCTATAGGCTCTGTGACAGCCATGTTTGAACCCTGATGTTGGAGAATGTCTGCATTTCAATTGGATAGCTGGGATTCTGATAATGATGCAGCTCCATGTCACTGGTTAGTGAAGAAGCATAGCAGTCTTCGCCAAACGCAATCAAAATTCTTTTGCCGGGTAATAAACAAAATCTTCCGAATACATCGTCATGCATAAAACATGTACAGGCTGTTTGAAGCAGCACATGCGAGTGAATTTTCAGATGGATGCCATGCTAGATGGAGCAGCTTTGTTGTAAAATCAAAAGCACTTCCATTTGTGTCAACTCCTGATTTCTCTGCCCCTTTCACAGTCAGAATTGGAGAAAAAAGAACATCATGAGAGTAAGGTAATTAGTGGACAATATAGGCATAAGAAAACCACAATAAAAGCGCATAACGAAAGAATATCCCCACTTGTACTATTGGTCTAAAACTCAGTAAGTTAGATCAACTCACTCAAAATTCGCCCAGACATAAATCGCATTTAATTATTTGTGTCAATTCGGTCAAAGACAAAAGAAAACATGAAAAATTTAATTGCCATGGCACTTTTATGATGCGAAGGTCAAAACGTATTGAACAAATTGATTTGGTTTGCCATGGCTATCATCACTTGAGATAATAGGAATATTACTAAGCCACTACAGAGAATGAAGTTTCAGGTGGTGGAGATACCCTACTCAGCCTAATACCCAAGTCAAAATTATTGAGACATTAGAACAAGGTTCAGTGTAATAAGTGATGAAACACATACCTCGCCTGACAAAACGAGGAAGAGTTCCAAGGGATCTCAAAGGCCTCGATGGGGTTTGGACTTGTCTCCTAATCATGCATGGCATACATTAAAAAATATCAAATATATGTTATTCTGACAGTTACATTCTATCGTTTAATGTGATAAGTCCTAAAAAACTCATTTAAGTAAAAGAATAGTTTTCACAACTGTTCTAATCATGAAAGCACCTATTAGCTGTGTTTAATATCATATAACATACTTCATGGGATTTCTGGTGGCTTCCAAAGTTGTTGCTTCTGTGCTTCCCTCAGAACAACCAAACACACGAAACAAATTGCTGGAACGCAGAAATTATTATATCAAATGTCCAGGTGCAGCCATCATGGCTAAGGTTTTAAACAACAATAAAAAATTAAGGATTCTGCTTGGAATCATGAATTTATAAAGCATACCTGTAGGAACCTGTTGCCACTCGAAGTCCATCTCCACTCAGACAACACTCAAACTTGTCGAAGATGGAATCATTGTCATATAAATCACACAACTGATCTAGTTCAAAGAGTTAAAATAACTCTGAGCCATAGGATAATAAAAAGTGCAACAACTCCACTAAAATTTTTGAAGACTCAAATAAAAGCTGCATAAAAGAAAATGTCACCTTTGGTCTAAGATATTCATGAACCTGAAAAGTTACAACTGGGCCAGAATCCATATTTATGTCCCACAGCTGAGGAAGAGGAAGCCAAAGTTACGAGGGGGAAAAGTTAGATTCGGTTGGGGTGGGGGAGAGATCTACTGATAAAGTCAACTAGATGCCTAAAAATAAGTAGTTAACCACTGCAGCTTAAATAACTAAAACATCAAGGTAAACCAACAAGATGAATTGCATCTGATCAAGTGACAAGCAAAAAACAAGAGAGTTCTTGTTTCTAGAATCATAAGAAAAAGGATCAAAAGAAGTGAAAAAGAACATAGGAGACATTCTCAAAAAATTTAATTTACTGTGCAATACTATGGGATCGCTCAAGCAAACATGTGATATTTTAAAAGATAATTCACAATGCCAAACATGCAACATTTGACAAGTACGATTTCCAACAAGACAACATAGGAAATTTAATTTGAAAATCCACCTACACACTGTTCCTTTTCAGAAAGAGAGACAAAGATAGGGTGAGATATCTTATGCAAATGTAATAATACTATTCTATTATTTCCTATAGCATCTGAATTGAGACGATAGCAGTTTTTTTATAGCATCTGAACGGGGAATATTGTGATGTCCATTAGCGGTTTTATTCTGCAAGTGACCAGTAATTTGTGGTTTCAAAGGAAAGCATAAAATAAGACTCAATGTCACTCAAACTATATCAAGTTTTCAGGTGGGCATGTCTTGAAATCCAACCAATTTTTAGAATTTCCCGTTCTTTAAATTTTGCTCTTTCTTAAACTTTTTATGGCCTGCATCAACTCAATATCAATATATGCTTGCAAAGTTCCATGCAGATATGATACCTAAATTGATAAATAAAAATATTTTAATCCAATGAAAAATAATAGCTAAAACAAAAACACATACCTTAAGTGTCATGTAATCACGACTAAGTATATATCTTCCACCCTTAGCAAACTTTATATCTGAAATTGATGCAATTATCTCGGTGAAAAAGGATCTGGAACCAGGAACCTCTTTCTCCTCAAACCTTAAAAATTAAGAGTATGTAGAACTAATAAGTCAATCCAACAAAAGTAGGCTCCCTAATAGGTTTCTAAAAGAATACTCTTGCATTACCAACGGGCCAGTGACTTAGCAGTATCAGCCTCTTACCTCCCAAAGGGAGGTCAGGGGTTCAAATCTCAGAAGAGACAAGTGTGTGTGAGTACCAACTAGGAAAAAAAAGAATACTCTTGCATTCTTATAATACCCAAAGCAATCAATTTTTAGATATGCCGAACGGAATTAGAGACAAATAATTGTGGACAAAAAAACAATATTCACTTACAATTTGTTATGAGTATCACATAAGGCTGATTGTCGCAAATCAATAAGCCGGATTGAACCTCTTGAGCTACTATAAGCTAACATATTACAATGTGAAGGGTGAAATTCCGCTGAAGTTATCACCTCTGCAATTATACGCTCAAACATGTGATATCAAATGTTGAATTGTTAATATAGCACTTCTACAGGAAAAAAAGACTAACTATAAATAAAAAATGAAATTAACTTCTTCCATCATCCAACACAACGCCATGGAGGGAAATAGTCCATCCAAAACACCAAATGGACTTTAATCTCCCTCCTCCATCCCCCCTACTTTAAAGAAAATGCACAAATGAGAAGACCAAATACGAAGCATGTGTATGTAAATATATACACACACAAATCATAAAAATGCTCCTTGCTATATTATATCAGAATTCTATACATTCAAGTCCTCAGACAACCATAGCATTAAGATTTTAATTTCAGAATGCTGAGAAACCTGTTAGATCCTCCATGTTTGTAGGCTTCACATCTACAATATTGAAACTTTGATTGCAAATTTCCAAGTTCCAAAGATTTATTCGCAGATCATCAGCCGATATAAAAGTTTCACCATCACTACAAAAAGGAAAAGATGATATATTAAATGCATGTTGTGTGCCAAGTAAGTATGCAATTAATAGTAGATAACTAAGCACACCCAAAATGTAAATTGAAAAATAAAGGAGTACCTTTTCACACTATAGTATTAACTTTGGAGTTGTAGCAGTGTTCTTACTTATTAGATACTACACACAAATGTAAACAATGACATTCGACGTAGATATTTTATAGGCAAAAGTGCAAAATACCCCCCTGAAGTAAAAAAGTGAGCAACTTAGTCATAGAAGTTAGATTAGTGGGTGCAAAGAGTCGAAGCCTGGCACTCCCAAAATCCACCGGAGGCACTAACCACTGGGCTATCGAGGCATCTGCAAGCTCTCTCTAATTGGAGGAGTTGTTGATATATGTTAAAAGTTAATTAAATATATTAATAAATCATTCCATCCAGTTAAAAAGAATTTATCTTGATGTCTTAAGAAATAATTTTCTAGATAGTTGCTCTAAATGATGTTCTCGTAGATTTTGCACGGATAAGAAGTGTATTGGTGTGGGCATATAATAATATTATATATATATATATATATATATATATATATATATATGATTCTACAACAATCATAATAGCCCTGAAAACGTACGTTTACAGCTATATATGTCACAGTTGCCTCAAATATGACAGTCTGAAAAAGCTACTGCCCTGTTCATTCTGCAATGTCTTCTTCTCCATTTCTTTCTATAACGTCTCTCTCTCCCCTGATCTGAATTCTACTTTTTTACTTTGCTCCATTATTTTCCTTCAGATTCCCGAGAATACCCATCAAAGAAACTCCGAAAAATCATGTTATCAGAAGTTAACGGCGTTGTTTGGATGGAAGATAGAGATGGTGAATAAACAGCTTCTTAGGCTCGAAACAACAATAAAGGAACTGTAGAGAACAAAGACGAAATGGATTCAATCTCCACATTCAAATCCTTGCTTGACGTTGGAAGCGAAGAATGGTACGTAACTAACAATGACATCCAAAACCACTATGACATTAGAGACATCACCTTCTCACCAAACTTCGCTGAAGCTGATAACAATCTGCTGTTACAACCGGTGGACTCGTCCTCTTCTTGTTCACCATCATCAACTTCAGTGTTCAACAATCTCAATCCATCTCAGGTACAATACTTTTTGCCTCCAAAGCCAACCATCCCGTCAAACCTCACTGTAATTCCTAACAACCCATTAGATTCTAGTTTCGATCTGGGTTGCGAAACTGGGTTTCTTGAGAATACCCAAGCCTTGAGTGCTTTGAACATTGGAGGTGGGGTTTTGAATGGTTTCACCGATTTAAGTTCACAAACCCTGATGGGTACTCCCAACTTGACCTCAGATCACCACTTCTCAAGTACCCATTTGCTTTAATTGACCGGAAACAACGTTACGGACAATTCCGGTTTCATCGTTTTCTAACCGCGTACGCAAATGGAGTGAGGAACACTTAACCAAATCTAGTCAAACAAGACTTTACAACTAGTGAGGGTATAAACGACATTTTGCATTTTCATGTTTTTTTATTTTTTCTAAAATGATAATTATAGGGGCATATATGTAATTGCACTTATATATATCACCGGAAAGAGGAATCCAGCGTCTGCAGGGGGGTAATATGCTCCATTTCAGAACTACTGTGACTAAGTTGCTCACTTTTTTACTTCAGGGGGGTATTTTGCTCGATGGAGTAAACCTCAGGGGGGTATTTTGCACTTTTGCCAAAAAATAAAAAATCATGAAAATGCAAAATGTCGCTTATACCCTTAATAGTTGTAAAGTCTTGTTTGACTAGATTTGGTGAAGTGTTCCTCATTCCATTTGCGTACGCGGTTAGAAAGCGATGAAACCGGAACTTGCCGTAACGTTGTTTCCGGTCAATTGAAGCAAATAGGTACTTGAGAAGTGGTGATCTGAGGTCAAGTTGGGAGTACCCATCAGGGTTTGTGAACTTAAATCAGTGAAACCATTCAAAACCCCACCACCATTGTTCAAAGCACTCAAGGCTTGGGTATTCTCAAGAAACCCAGTTTCGCAACCCAAATCGAAACTAGTATCTAATGGGTTGTTTGGAATTACAGTGAGGTTTGATGGGATGGTTGGCTTTGGAGGCAAAAAGTATTGTACCTGAGATGGATTGAGATTGTTGAACACTGAAGTTGATGATGGTGAACAAGAAGAGGACGAGTCCACCACTTGTAACAGCAGATTGTTATCAGCTTCAGCGAAGTTTGGTGAGAAGGTGGTGTCTCTAATGTCATGGTGGTTTTGGATGTCATTGTTAGTTACGTACCATTCTTTGCTTCCAACGTCAAGCAAGGATTTGAATGTGGAGAATGAATCCATTTCGTCTTTGTTCTCTACAGTTCCTTTGTTGTTGTTTCGAGCCCATGAAGATGTTTCTTCACTATCTCTATCTTCCATCCAAACAACGCCGTTAACTTCTGATAACATGATTTTTCGAAGTTTCTTTGATAGGTATTCTCGGGAATTTGAAGGAAAATAATGGAGCAAAGTAAAAAGTGGAATTCAGATCAGGGGGGAGAGAGACGTTATAGAAAGAAATGGAGAAAAAGACATTGCAGAATGAACAGGGCAGTAGCTTTTTCAGACGTCATATTTGAGGCAACTGTGACACATATAGCTGTGAACGTTAGTTTTCAGGGTTGTTATGATTGTTGTAGAATCATATATATATATATATATATATATATATATATATATATAATATTATTATATGCCCACACCAATACACTTCTTATCCGTGCAAAATCTACGAGAACATCATTTAGAGTAACTATCTAGAAAATTATTTCTTAAGACATCAAGATAAATTCTCTTTAACTGGATGGAGTGATTTATTAATATATTTAATTAACTTTTAACATATATCAACAACTCCTCCAATTAGAGAGAGCTAGCAGATGCTTCGATAGCCCAGTGATTAGTGCCTCCGGTGGATTTTGGAAGTGCCAGGCTTCGACTCTTTGCACCTACTAATTTAACTTCTAACCCTTCTTGCCTTGTTAAAAAATAAATAAATAAAAATAAAAATAAAATTAGAGAGAGCTTAAAAAAATAATAATAATAAAATAAATTAAAAATTAAAAATTAAAAAGAGTTTTTCTATAAATTATAAATACTGTGAAAGGGGCTCTCATGTAAACTCTTCATCCTTATTTGTTATGGTGCTTGACCACTCGTCGTTCATAGGATCAAATGCAATATGATGTCACAGAATAGATCGAATGAATAAGGGTATGAATATAACCCGTCCCTGAGCTCTAACCTAATATTTATTTGTATTGCTATATATAACTTTTAACATATATATATATAGCAATACAAATAAATATACTTACCTGAGAGAGCGAGGGTAGAGAGAGAGAGCAGAGGGAAGAAATGGGGCTGAAATGGGTTTGGTTTGGGGAGAGGCCAAAAATTTATAAACAACATTGAAGGGCATAATGGTCATCATGGAGGGCAGTTTTGGCATTCCAATAAAGTAATCAATCAAGTGCATCACTTGCTCACCGGAAAGAGGAATCCGGCGTCTGCAAGGGGGCAATATGCTCCATTTCAGAACTATTATGACTAAGTTGCTCACTTTTTTACTTCAGGGGGGTATTTTGCTCGATGGAGTAAACCTCAGGGGGGGTATTTTGCACTTTTGCCCATTTTATATAACAAGGCAAAAAAAATATTATGGTAGACAATTATTCTTTTAAATTTATACATACATAAATATACTTTTAATTTCTATACATATCTACATATAACTTCTTGTGCCTGTGTACTATTTTTTAAGAATTTCTCGTATCGTCATATTCTCGTATCCATTTACATGCTTCATGGGTGTTGGTCCCCATTAATTGAGAGTGTTGCGGACACAGACTTGCTACAGACCCCTGATTTTTTTGCATGATATGTACAAAGTGGCTCTTTAGAAACTCAAAATGAGTTCTCACAATTAACAACCTGAATTTTTACCTTTGCATCAAATAGTGGCACCTTGAAAATTGTTAAAAAGGTGTAAAACAAAAATCATTTGAATAATAAATGTTTTAAAAAGAATGCATTTCAAGCATCAAAGGGGTAAATTAAGAAAAGAAAAATCTAGTGGTAGTCTCTATGCGTGTATTTGCCAGCGTCGATGCATATATGGATGCCTAACCATGAGAGAGAGAGAGAGAGAGAGAGAGAGAGAGCACTGCATTGAGTCAGTCAGTCATCCCGCTAGAGAGAAATAACTAACATGAAACAAGAAAAACCTTAATCGTTAAAAAAATCAAAACAAAGAAATAATGCAATTCATGGAGACAAGTGACAGCACCTATAAAGTGCATAAAAGGAGTAGAAAAGATGTTTCAAAGGGCCCACACATTGAATTGACAGATGATAAATTGTGTGGAGCTCACTTGGAAGCTCACTTAATTAGGTTTAAGCTCAAGTGAATCTTCTTTTTAGGATCTTATTAAGTATGTCTGCTGTCAATTTAGCTTTATAAGCATTTTCTTATCATTCAACTCAGAGTCAAGTTTTAGTGTTGTAAATTTAATATTTATTGGACATTGACTATAGCTGTGGCCCTTTGATTGTCTTTTGTCTCAAGTTGAGATTGGGTCTTTATTTGTGGACTTGGTAGGTTTATATGGGTCTTACAAGTCAAAATCTCTTAATTTTCGAATACAGAATTCAAGTAGAAGGTTATTTATTTTATTTTTTTTGATAAGTCAAGTCATTAGAAGGTTATGATTATTTTAAGGTATGCAATAGCAGCAATACTTCCAATTCAATGACGATTAAGTTCTAGAGAATTTTCGAATAAAATATGCTCTTGAGGATTATGCATGCAATTCCACACGCATCTGTGACGTGTACATGATTCTAGAAGTAATTCCTAGAATTTCTTCTTCTTTAATTTCCTGCACTCTTTAAGCATAAAAACCACTGATATCTAACTTGTTTTAACCCTTTCTATGCTTACAAAATCCTTCTCCATGAACACAAACCCCTCTCTCAAACACTCAATTCAAGCACCCTCAAAAATAGCCTAAGTCTACAAAGATACCACTCACATGAACATACAATGAGGCCCCTTAAGAGAATGGAAAGTGACGTACTCCCCAACCATATGGCTGAATTATTCACAGCCCCAGAGCAGGAATAAACTTGGTGATTCTAACACTAGAGTGTGAACCTATTTGTTGTACTTTTAAACCCTAAAACACTTTAAATACCAACATTTAGCTGCAATAAATTGATCTTAGTCAGCCAAAACCCTCTTCCACACAATCATACATTAGCAACTCTAATAAAAGATGTAACAATGCATCCTGGAAGATTATGCCTCTTCAATCATAGCAAATCTCAGCTTCAAAGTTCTTTCAATTTGTTAGCTACAGGACCCTCATGAAGATTATATTACCATGGAATTATTCAGTCTTAGTCTCCTCAAGGGGTTGTTCGCTTCTCTTCTTCTTCTTTTTCTTTTTCTTCAGAAATCAAAGCTGAATATGCACTTTTCTAGAAGCTCCAATAATTTTAGGAGTGGAGCTTAAAGACTTAATATATATATAAAATATATATATATATGTATGTATGTTGGATAAGATAAGGCCTTAAAATATTACTATCCTGATTAAGATGCTTTTTAGATAGTTTCTGCTTATATTTTTAGGGTATTATTAAACCTATAATACAGATTTGGACAATAACGAAGGAAGCCCCTTAAGATGAATTAAAACTAAAAAAAATTTAGGAAGGTTTTCTTCTGTCTCTTTGTCCCCCTCTCTTTCAAGATCAAGAAGCTTGGAAAACCACTTTGTGCTCTTATCCTCTTCTATGTTTCTACACCTTCCTCCCTTTATTTGTCTTCTCTTTTTATTTAATGAATCCCAGTGGAATTTACATCTATATGCAAAAGTTTAACACAAATATGCAATAACAAATGACAAATGCAAACAAAAATATCATAAAATGGAAAAAGCTAGAGGTTTAGGTTTTCAGAAGAAGTGAATGCACCTATTATTTGAAATGGAATTGATATGGTAGTCGTGGGCATGAGCATATATTCTTCGACATCTTGCCACAAGGCTTGTTTCATCACTGGTTACCTAAATATTACAAGTGCACCATATGTTAGTGCTGCATATTACATATAGCCGGACCAAGTCCTTGCATTCCATCAGTATGAAAGCTTAAATCCATAAATGCAGGAGAAAAAAGAATCACCCCATAATTCAACTACAGCAAGTTCTTATAGCAATATAGAAATAACAGAGATGGTAAAGTTTGAAGCTTGGGCTGCCAGAAAATTATTAGATTAGGCTGAGTACAACTACCACGGGCAAATGTAGGGATAAATTGCCCCCAGGCAGGAATGAGAAGTCAGTGCACGAATACTTGAAGGGCTTGTTGATGCACCTTCCATTTGCAATACATAGTTTAGAGCCTGTTGATATACTTGAACATTCAACAGTGCCATTTTCCATAGCTTTTGAACAGTCCATATTCATGTCACAAACTTTCTTGACCTTCTTCTCATTGACCTGTTCAACATTAAAGCTGAAAAAATAAGAAAATCATCTGACCAGGAATTGCCATTCATGGATCAGAAAACTGCAAATGTTTCTATAAAAAGTAATAAATAAATAAAAATTGCTATTCTAGCTGCTGACTCTACTTGTTTACAACAGAAGAACTTCTAGGAGTTTTCTTTCCAACCCTAAGAAGAATTTTCCAGAAAACTTCACCCACCTAAAACGAAACTACAGAAGTGTTAACTTGTTGATCTTTAATTTTTTGAGTTCTAATTTATAGATGGATAAATGGGAATCATTCAACAAATTAGCCCAATGGCACTCGTAATTTTAATTTATATTTAGAAAAAATTTCTTAAAACATGCAAGGAACGATCCATACCATTCCACAACCCAACAGCATAAATAAACTTTTATTTTTTTATAAAAAGATAAAATTTAGATTTTCCAATCTTCACTTATTATAAATGTGATGTCACATGTCCAGGAAATGTAAAACTCCAAAAGCACGTTAAAGTGGAAAGTTGTCCTACTTTAAAGGTATAAAACCAGCTGTAAGTAATATTTTCATTCATGCAATTCTCCACTCACTCCAAACCACACACAGTAAAAAGCTCCTCTATTGCATAAATTCCTCTACCCTCTTGCATATTCCTACTCTGCTATTGACCTTCCTGTTTTCTTTTTCTGCCTCTTTTGTGCTAACCATTTGATCCTGTAACAAGTTTTCATGCATTGTTAAACTAATTATGTTGCCTCCACATGGACAAAGGCAATGTAAAGTCAAAAGTCCCCAAAATTTCATGCAAAAACACCTACGCAGAAAAGAAAATATATTAAACAGAGAAAGTTGAGGTCATCCTAAATTTAAAAATGAAAATTAAGGGTTTTTCTCTATTAGAAAGTCACAAGTTGATTCTGGTGAAACCAACCCACTACACCTGCTTCTTATAAAGATAGCCCCTTTCCCTCTCTGTCTCCTGTTATAATCATAAAACCTAGGGATAGACTAATAAGTTTATGATGAAGAGTTAATTTACTTGCATAATTTAACCATATAATGCATAAAAAATAAATCCTAAGCTTATGAGAGTTGGATAGGAAATTTGCTTTATGGTCCATGTTTGTTCAAATATAAATGGTGAAAAATAGGACTTTACTATGCTTAACAGTTAAAGTAAATTGACAACAATCAAGTACATAAAGCATTCTTCTGCACAATAACAATTATTTGCTGTGCACTTGCATCACATGTTCCATCAGCTGGAAAGTGATGATTATTTTGTAGAAATTTGAGACTAATAAATGCTGAGGAAAACATAAATCTTGCTATCCAATGTATGACGATTGCAATTGAAATACTTACCGTGGAGGAATTATTCTGTCCTGTTAGCTTTCAGGAAAATTATACAAATAACTAACATCAGGTGTGTCATTTTATAAAATTTTCAAAAAGGAAATCACGCTACTTTCTTCTTAGCTGCAACTGCTCATTCTCACTGGTCAAAAAAACTCGGATCAAATTCTCCTATAAATTTGTGGTATCCAATGGACATGCCGACGAATAAAATTATTCTAATCTATTACCCAACTCCAAGAACATGAAAGCATGATTAAGATACTATCATGTTACAAGAAAAAACAAAGCAATTGGTCTTCTTCAAGGCAACAGAATGGAGATAAGGAACAAACTATCTCAAAATTAATGGAAAATTTAAAGCATGCAACAAAGTTCGTCTCCCCCTACCTTCCAAAATTTGATGGTTTTGTCATTTGTGGAAAGCAAAAATAAGGCACTATTAGCTGTCTGGCACCATCTAATCTTGTTGATTTTCTCCTCAATTTCCAAGCTCTTGAGATAGTCAAACTGAATTCAAACATGAAAAGGAACACAGCAAATTTATTCAAAATCCAGTGTAGAGGGAAAAGTTGGAGCAGAACAAATATTTATTCATCTGTATTTAGAAGAAAGAAAACCTCTGGTTCATGGCTCTGAAATTCAGTTTTATAGCGGAACTCAGGATGCCGACTGTTTGAACAATCCATCCTTTCTAGATCTCTTCTACGACCATCATACTACATATTAGATGTTCATTTTACTAAAGATACAACAACAGTGGTAGAACCAAAGCATTATTGAATAATGAATCATGAATAATGGAAAATGAAACCACAAATTAAACAAGAAGATAATCAACAGACGTACATCTTTTTTATCAGTTCTTTCAAATAAAACAACCCGACCCCCTCGATCTCCAGTAGCTAGATGGTCCCCAGTTTTATCAAATCCAATTGCTGATATGATATCAACTGCAGATACAATAGTGAGCATGTAAGGGTATAAATAGGAAAATTACCATACTCAGCCCACAATTTGAAAAGAGAAATTATTAATAAAAAAATAAAAAAAAAAACAATAATTCAGATGCAATACCACCAAGTCACACTGTCTTCCATAGCTTGGCACAAATAATCGTAAGCAACAATTCATGCTTTTGAAACTCAGACTTGTCCGAACCCAATACTCACCAATATAAAGGTGGGAAATGGAATCACATCAGGCTCGCCTGATTTCCTAGGGACTCGGCACAGTCTCTTTGGAGCCGGCCTAGTCAGTGCAATATCTGATGGCGGCCAAGGTCGAGAAAATTATATGATTGCAGTTTCCAATACTATCATGTAAAGCCCATTACACCCCGCGTCCATTACACCCCACATTCATGACTTAAAATCAACAACATTTACACTTAGTACGAAGAGTGGGTATCTAGTACCAACGCATTGCCACAAAGGATCCGTACAATTATTTCATTCCAAAGACCTCAACCTCGATGATGTATTGACGGCCTCGAGGAGTACCTCTCCTACAAAGAAACCTCAAGGAGAATACTGAAGACCTCGATGAGTTCCTTTCATACGGATAAACCTCGAGGATATGTTGAAAACCTCGAGGCCATGTTGAAGACATTGAGGAGCTCATCTCCTACAAATAAACCTCGAGTACGAAGACCTCAACAAGCTCCTCTACTACAGATAAACCTCGATTACTTTGAGGAGTTTCTATCCAACAAATAAACCTCGAAAGATATATTGTAAATCTTGAGGAGTTTCTCTTATGAATAAACCTCGAGAAATGGTCATCCATTTCTACCTTCACCACAGGCGTGAATGTATTAGAAGTCTTGGGTAGCTCCTCTCCTACGGATAAACCTTGCGGATGCATTAAAGATAAACTCCACAAGAAAGATATCATTTCCTACAAACAAGCCCCAATTCAAAGCCTCTCCCTTGTATTGCTCAAAAGAATACTAGAGAAATTGAAGGAAACACTCCTGCCCAAGACCTCTAAGGTGGGACCAGGACTTAGGGGCACTCCATCTTTTTACTGCAATTCCAGCAACCTATCGCCTTGAAGAACAATTAATCATTCAACTCCAGCACCAAAAAGATTACCGGCTGGCCTGCAGTTACCATTCATGGGTATTGCTAAAAGCACCGAACAATATTCGAATATCGTCTATCCTTATTAATTAAAATCCGCAGACCTTACCCCTTTGTATACCCTAGACAAACTCTAAAACCTAAAATCTCTACTAACCTTTAGCCACAAAAAGATTCAGCAATACATACCCTAATATAATCCCATCCATGCCGCCTTACGTTAGGTTAGGCTTTGATTCTTTATATCAAAGCTTGAAAAGAGTGTGATTTGCACTTGTCATACATAACATGATAACAACCTCATCACTCTTTTTTACCATTACACCATGCAATGGGCCCAAAAATTTAAAAGAAAAAAAAGGAGATGATTGACCATTGGAAATGCACATCATTCACAAAACCTCTTAATCATCATATAACAACTTCGTGGAGTCTACTTAATCAATGAAATTGTTCAGATCCTTCAAGACAGGATATATTTACCAACAGTATCTAGCAGGTTTTTAACGATAATAACTTACCAAGGAGACAAAAAAGAAGCAGCGAAGTGGAAGAGTGATAATTCGCAGAGTAGAAAGATTGAGTTCCTAGATTTTCACAAAACTGAATTCAAAACATAAAATCGCACCCTTCCCAGACGAATCATGTAAGTCAAGTCATGTCAACAAGTGTGAATGTTGTTAGAATCGGGATTGTACGTAGGATCGATGAGGGTCCATAGGATCGAGAATAGTAAGATTCTATGAAACTATTTGAAAAGTAACTCAAACTAACTTTCTAAATCAAATAATTTCAATATAAGTAGAGAATAAGGCTAAATAACCAATTCAGAGACACCAACAAAATTAATTAACATTCAAAGTACTAAGACTCGTGACAAATACTAAATATCAGTTTCTTGATTTAAACAAAAAATCAGCATTTCAATCAAGTAAAATCTTAGAGAAGAAATTAAAGTAAAGCCTAGTAGAAAGAGAAAAGTGCAATTTCTTTGCCTAATTGTTTGAGCAATTTAGTTGAAAAGTTTACTTTTTTGTTCAAAAAGGAACAAAATAGAGATAGAAAGAACAATGAAAAGAAAAATGAAGTTTTTCTTTATTTCTGTTTCAGAATTGACAAAGAGTAGGTGGAAAAATAGAATTCTTTATGTTCCTTGTACTAAAAAAGAAAGAAAAAAAGAGAAATTGAGAAGAATAAAACAAAATAGAGGAAATTTTTAAAGTTTTAAACGATATCTTTGAAATTCAGAGTTGATCGTCTCTACATTTGAAGTTCGTTTCTTTGTTTTTTATTTTTTTATTTTAATTTTTTAATGTAATTAGGCCAAAGAGTTGGACTTTATATTTAAAACGATTAAATTTATTAGTCCAAAATTAATTGTAGGCCCAAATAAATTCGGAAGAAGAACAAAATAACACGATTTAGTAGAATCATTAGTATTGTAAGATTCTATGAGATTCTACAATCCTACTTCCGATTCTACAGATCCCACTGAGATTCTACTTCCTAGAGATTTTAGATGGGATCGGAATCGTTTTGGCAATTTAGGATCGTAGAATCGTAAGATTCGAAGTACGGTACTTCCACTTCCATTGTCAAATCAATTCAACTGTTTCCAGGCCATCACACCAATGAATTTAATCTATATTTTAAAGCCAGTTTTATGTGCTTCCAACTCAGCCCCTATCCTACATTGACATTATAGCTACTCATCGGATAGCTTCCCCTCAATATCCCCTTAATTTGAGAGTAAAATTGTGCAATCTGATGTGTGATATGCTTCCACTGCTAGACTAAGGCTGGGAATCAATCTGAAGGTAATTTGGTCTTCGAGTTTCAAGGCTGTCGTGTTATAACTAAGGTTTGTCAGGCTGGCCATGTAAAGCTTTCGGTCACCAAGTTTAAATTCGAGCAAGTTGTCAGTATAGGTGATGTAATGGCCCATTCTTGATGAATAAGGATATCAGTTTTCAGACAAATACGATTACGGTGTCACTGTAAACCCACATCACATTTAACCCACTTTTTACTTGTACCACGTCAAACACACTCCACAGTTGAATAAAAACTTTTGCATTTTTTCCACCACCACTCATTACTCAGCCCTGCAAAGCTAAGATGCAAATTCTCGCATCTTGGGGGTATTTCATCTTGCAATTATCTCAATAATGAAACTTCCAAATCTCAACTATGTTTTTACTGCTGTAAGTATATGTAAAGATCCACAAGTACCTGATTCACAAAAACCAAGTACCTGATTCACAGGACACTGCCATAAATACCAAAAATGTGGAGCTTAGTGCACTTATAGCATGCATGTGTTTTAAGCTGCAGACCACCTTAAGAAGTACGGACACTCCTAAGAAAGAGCTTGTCCATGTCAAACATGTGTTCACTCAGGGACACATTGCTGACATATTTTAGACATCTCCTTAATTCAAAAGTACAATTCTTAATTTTGGACAACACTTCTTGACATGTAATTACATGTGAGTAATGAAACAATTGTTGACAAGACTTCTTTTCAGAATAAAAAAGATGCATTATTGTAAGAAAAAACAGATGATATTTAAATAGAATTTAAACAAATATTGGAAGAGTGTACATATATGTTTTGAAAGAGTGTACATATATAGGAGATGAGCCATCAAATTATGCATGTACGTGTACAATCACATATATACAAAAAAGACACATACATGTATATGTCCCATACTTATTATGTTTTTATCTAAGTAAGGATAATTATAATATAAGGTTTCTAAGTTAAAATTTTCATGTCATATTCATAAAATGTTTATTTAGCCAACCCCAAGTAGTTGTGAGAATAGGTTTTACTGATTATAGATGAGTATTCATAGAATATTTATTTTTGGTATATATAATTTATAATTTTATGTGTATATAATATATATATTTATGAGTATTCCATTTAAAACCCCAAGTAGTTGCAATAAACTGTAATACAACTAAATGGAATAGGTTTTAAGTTCAAGAAGCATACAAATGATTACACTATTCTTTGAAGATGTTAAAGTCACTATCAATTCACCAACAGACTATATGAATTCCCAAACACACATATATATCTCGGCAGCTAAAGATCTGGTAACAAATACTCAAAAGTGAATCAATCAAATCCTAATAACAGCAAAATTAACACCAGAAAAGAACTAATTGCAGACCAAGCAATAAATATCATACCTTCCTGAACTTCCTCTCGCGAGTTCCGTTCACCAAACACCTGCGAGAACTTCCACTCCAGCGGCTGCAGTGGCGCTGGCCCACCACCCAAAAGTTCATAGCCACCGCGGCTCATTGTTCCAATCAAAATGACATACAATTAATCCACCAAAAGACTGTAACAAATTAATCTCCTCAACAAAATCCCTCTGTTTCTCAGAATTACATTAACATCATGAATTCAAAGCTTTATTAATATAATCAATGTAGACTATCGATTCATCACAAAAAGAAACCAGATATGGTGATTAAACATGGCTCAGATTTTCATTCTCTATGGGGACTGAACATCGACGAAAATGTAACACATACACTCTCTCACTCTCTCAAAAAACAGAAACACACTCACTCCCCTCTCTTCTCTCTATATAGACACAAAGGATTGAAGATAGAAGTATTGAACAGCTATGCGGTTTTCATACAAAGATTCTCTCTCTCTCTCTCTCTCTACTTTCTCACTCTTCCTTTTCTCTTTTCTTCTTGTTTTTGAGGGAGATGACTCGTGAGGAGAAAGATGTTATATCCGATGACAATGACGGAGAGCAGAAAAATGCAACGTCAAAATAAAATTAAAATCTCTACAATAGTGTGTGTGTGTTTTTTTTTTTTTTTAATATACATATAAATATATTAAGGGTTAATTGAACCAATATTATGAAATACTAAAATTTGCAAAATGAAATTGCACTTAAGTTAATTGCACAAAATTAATCTGAATTACAATAAGTTTACATGTTGTCCATTTTTTGAAATGTTGATTATATGCAAATTTATTGTAGTTTGAAAGGTTTTATACAATTAATAAGAAGGTAAATTGAGATTTTTTTAAAGTTTTAATATATTAGATGATGTCTAGCACAAAGCGTTATAAGTCATTAGCATTTTTTTCACCTTTCGAGGCCTTCAAACAGTTTAGAATTGGAGTGATATGCTAATTTTCTATTAATTAAAAGTTTTATTTAATGCAATTAACAATTTTAGACACGAAGGAAGTGGTATTAGGTTGCAAACGAACAATTAATATAAGATGCAACAAAATTAATAGAGGCCATAGACATGTTCGGCGGAAACTATACATTATTGAAAATGACAAGAAATTATTTATATAATTTAGTCTTTTAACTTTTGACTCTAGTCGAGGCTAAAGACATGTTTGACGTAAATTACAATGACCTTTTCCCTTTCGTTATTTAATAATCCACGATTGTCATAGAATATCAAGTAACTACCTTGTGTTTTTTCCATCAACCTTTGTCCTTCGCTCTCTCTCTCTTTCTTAAAGATGATTTTCATGTTAAAATAGTGCAATGTGTCGCCTATCAGAATGTGTTGGGCCTAACAAACAATAGGATTGAAGTGGGACCCATCAATTCAGGCCATCAAAGGCCTCGAGTTGATCGCTCCAACACTTGCTAGGTTTCTATTTATAATCTAAAACAGTTTGGTTGAGACCACATTTATCATCAGAATTCAGTTTTGAGAGAGTTAAAAATTCAGTTTTGAGAGAGTAAAACAGTTCTGGGCATTATTCAGTGGCCTAATGCCGTTACACGTAATTAGCAGAACGCGCACCTCCCCGAGCAACAGTGTATCAGTGTTTAAGTCCCCCTCTCCTTAGTTTGCCGGAATTACAAAAAAAAAAAAAAAAAAAGAAAGAAAAAGGTTTGGTTGAGACCACATCTATCATCAGAATTCAGTCGACTATGCAACAACATTAGAGTATTTCCAATTTCAATCACATTTATGATCACATCAGCACACACTGATATAGTCTGATAATAGATTACAAGCAGAAAAAGCTGTAGACGTTTAGAAGGGTTCCCATTGACCGGAGGTAATTAACCATCTTTCATTGTTGCCATGGTAACTACAAATGTGTATAGGACAATTATGCCAACCGTATTTGCAATCTTAATTGACACCAAGAATAATTCCATGCAAGTGTTTTGGTCGGTCATGAATTCTCCAATCTCATCTGTTGAATGCTATCAATGTTGACAATAACAACTGCAAAAGCCTCAGACGATGCAAAATAGTAAAATTGCTATGCAAGCGTTACCATCATTCATAATTTTTGAAGTTTTTACGTCCCAAATGATAAAAACACCTGACTGGTAAAAACTGAAAGCAATGGCCACAAAATCCGAGTGTCACTTCTCACTGCTCAAATCAGAAGTCCTCTCCTGCACCAGACTCATATGCAAAGGAGTGATTTTCACATGTTCTTTGACAAAATGGTCTCCAAGCCTCGGGAAGAACAGATAATCTTTTAATTTAGTCAATCCAAAAAAAAAAAAGAAAAAAAAAAAGGTATTTGATTCATATACTTCGACACAACATTCTGTGCACAATTAAATAACTTCGCAAATTAAGAGAAACATCAGTTTATACAATGTAATATCATTTTTAAAAAAAAGGCTCAAACGCTACATTCTGAATTTCTACAATTAGAACAAATGCATCAAATAAGAATAAAGAATAACATATCTCAGTCTGAATTACATCAGAAGGAAGGCACTATTTTACATTGAAAAAAAAAAAAAGGCTCACACTGGAATAGCATGATTAGGTCAAGCAAAGGCGAAGCTACATTTGGTTAGTTGTTTTGGAAGTTAGATCACCACTATGGTTAATACCCTGTTCTCTCATTTCCGAGAGTTAAGTTTTTTAGTTATCTAGTTTGGTCAGAGGCGTGTAACAAAAATAACAAGGGAAACAATTTGTGTAAGATTCGGGAGAAAAAGATGAAGCAATCCGCCCCAACCTCTTTTGAACAAATGAAATGTAGTCTTGAGCATGAGAATCTTACGAGGTAGATCTGGAAAAGCATATATTTAACCTTCATGGATCATTAGATCTTTGGAGATCAAAGCAATACGCTGCTTGGCACTGTCTGAGCGGAGGTTCTCTCCTTTGAATCCCAACTGAAAATCAGAACGTGTTACAAAAAAAATTTAAGCACATCAGCTAGGCAAGGGCAAAACCACATAAAGAATCAACCCCTTGGGTCAGAAACGACATATCTAGTCTATAAACCAAGGGCCCATTTGGTTTAATTCACAGAATGAGAAGTCTTCAGGAAACTATAAATAGGAAGAAAAAAAATTGACTCTTCTTTAATAAACATGTCTTTTCCCATTTGGTTTCACATAACAATTTTCTTAAATTGTCAACGAAACAAATTCTCAAACTGTTATTTCTAAAGAATTTTCTAAATTCTTTGAAATAGGAAACTATTCTCATACAACTAAATGAAGCAAAAACCAATAAAGATCATGGGTGATTACCTCACTCTGACTGTCAGGGGAAAACCACCGTAACAGCACCCCAAGACGTACAACGGCAGGTATTAGCTTGAAAAGCAACGGTGTAGTAACCTGCAAATTTTCTTTGTAAAAGATCCACTCTGAAAATTAAGGAGTAAACTGCATAGGATTACGGTGGCAAATATAACAAATTATCATCACCACATTTATAAATATTTTCCCTGTAATCCAATCACTCCAAATGGCATAATTATATTAACATTATGATCCTTCTGTTTAACTGACCTCCAAAGCACTCATTTTCTTGCAACTCGGAATTATTTCTAATAATTAAAACAGAGAGAGAGAGAAAGCCTTGGGATGTTCATGGCTTGAATTGCAGTGTTTATAGAACTCAACTAATGGTCTTCAGTAATTCTCTAAATTATCATCACTAGTCAGTTTCATCTTAATCTAAAAATATTAAATCCAGAATACAAGAAAATTGAAAATAAAATAAAATAGATGAATCAACAAAAAAAAAAATCTGAATGCTCAACTTGGAGGAACCAACTTGGTTACATGTGGATTAATGATTCTATTATTTAATAATCAATAATTTTTTGGAAAAAAAAAAAAAACTTATTTTAATATTACTTAGTAGAATGAAATGAATGAATTATACTCACATAGGAGAAACCTAACAATATTCTCACATGTCATGCTTTGAAAAATAACATTCTTGACCTTTTAAATATGTAGGCCAATTTAATGAACATACAGATTTTTTTTTTTTTTTATCTTATGCTTGAAAAAAGTAAACATATACATTGTCTAGGAAGATGCGAATTTTTTTTTTAATTGAAATATATACACATATTTTTTGACAAGTAAAACAACATTAAAAAACGCTCAAAATGGGAGCACAGCCCATGTACAACTTCACAAGAATCACAAAAAACCTTCCATTCAATTAATGTATCCATTAAAAACTTTATGTATATTATTTGACTTTTGTATATGCAAAGTTGAATGCTATTGGATAATCATAATTGGAAAAAGTTGACACTTAATAATTACATTAATTAATAGTTTAGCGTCTCCCGTGATTATTAATTATTATAGCGTTGACAGCACATCATCTTAAAATTACCAAAAATATTAAATGATAATACTTCCATCTCTTGAACTACTACTGCAATGCACTCATATGGGAAAAAACGTGCGGTGAATAGGAAGGCACACATTAAAGCAAGATTTAAAAAGGTATCATACCAAACTAAGAGCTGTTGTCCCAAGGAGCAGCAGGTACAGTTTCCCCTGAAAGCAACAAATGCTTCAGTTCTCAATAAAAGCATATGGCTTCTATGCAAATTACTGCTGTTATGGTTAATATATCTGAGGAATATAACCATGAAGATGTGCCATAGTCACTAGCAAAGAGTATGTTCGTTTGTTGTTAAATTTGTCCTTGGATACAAAAAGTTTATTGTACAGGCAACAAGAGAACATTGTTAATTGTGGTACTGACCTCAATAAGATGAAGATTAGAAGCACGACTGAGAAGGACAAAAGCAAATTCCCCTATTTGTGCCAAAGACATACCAACCTATGAATGAAGTACAAGAACCCATGGGCGCTAGTCAATGAGAACATATAAAACTTTAAAGACAAGAATTATGAAAACAAAGCTGTCAAGTAATCGCTTACAAGAAGTGAAGTCTTGTTGTTATAGCCAAATCCTTTGACAACAGTGGTAATGACAAATGTTTTAACAATTATCACTAATATAACAGATGCCAGCAAGATATCAACATGGCTCCAGAGAAAATGAACGTGGATCAGCATACCGATGCTAGCAAGGAAAAGAGCAGCAAAGAAATTGCGAATGGGTTCAACCTGCACATGTAATGTATTGTCATAGGCACTTCACTTTCATAATGTTGATGTGCATTACCAAACAAAATAGTAATAAAGCTTTTCCACGAAGTGTTAATTCGTGGTCTCATTAGACAACTTATAGTTTCAGACATTTATGTATAAATGGACGAAACCTCAAATATGAGCAACACATCTAACACATGCTTTATGACATTCATATAACACCCTCAGTCTACATTATATGTAGATCTTCCCATTTCAGGATGTCTCACAATTGAAGTCCACTTTTAAAAACTCAAGCCACATAAATATTGTAAATTCTTAAATTACATTTTCTAGTGGAATATAAATGTCTTAACTAGTGTAGATGATGGTTAATTTTTGGAAACTTCTACTTTTCTCTAAATGTAAATGCACTAAATATATGTTTCCTTAAGAAGTTTGAATTCCTATCGCGGACAAAATAATAAGGATCGGAGGGGTGTCTACACATACACACGTGTTGGTAAATGAAAAATCTAAACGCAACTTATCTACATTCAGCACAGATCATTCTACCAACTTGGGCAGACCAACGACCAACCAATAGCTTGAACCAGATCTCCATCCACTGTTCAACAGATCCAAGTACAGCTAATTCTGACATCATTGAGTGTTTTATATATATATATATATATATATATATATATATATTGGTACTACCTTTTATAGAATACCGAATGAAAAAGGGAGGCAAAGGAAGATGTTTGCCAAAATGAAGCACTATGGTAGTGTTTGTTTTCAACACAATTTTTAACTCAATAGGATACCACAATGTATTTGTTGCGTTGTTCAAATGCCAAAATGAAATATTGCATTAATGCAGAAGGCTTACAATCCTAGAAAGACGTATTTCACCCTAAACATCACCCCATCCTGACCATCATTGAAATTCATACAGTGATAACCCATCTGTGTTGGTGCTACAAGAGAAAAACAATGGACAGTCCCAACATTTGTTCGGTTTTCCTTTTCTTTTTCTTTTTTAATAAAGTAACTGCTATCTAAATTGAACAAACGCTCTCACTTGTCGACCTGAGCTTCTACCATCATTGTTATCCACAACCCAAAAATTATTTCAAAAATCCAATACAGTTTCAAGGAGTTGAGAGTCGAAGACAAACAGAATGTTATGGTAGAACTAGTGTAATTAGAAAATCGTGGTGCAACTATGCAAAAAAATCAAACCCAAGTTGATTGCCCAAGATACTCTCGATAGTTAAATAAAGGGGAACAACTTGGTTAATATCCAATCGAGTTGAGTAATAGTGAAAAACACAATTCAGTATTGCAACAGTGAAAAGCAGTAGAGTCCCCGCAACGGGCTTCATTTTAAAATTTTTACTTAATTTATATATATATATATATATATATATATATATATATATATATTATACGGGGATAAAAAAGGGAAACCAGTGGTCTGATCTATATTTCCCACCACCACAGCACTTCGACTACACACATATTTGCCAATATGCTACCCGTCACAGTCAGAACCATGGCTTTTCATCAATGTTGCAGTATTTCTACGACATTAACTACTCTAGTTCACTGGTAAATGGTAATGAATGTCCTAGATAAAATGCAATCAATAAAAAGTTTAAGAAAAAGCAAATTTTTAGAAGAGAGAAATACTGGGATTAATTACCAAAGAAATACTGGGAATTGGTTCAAATGTCAAATTAGGAATTTAGGACCCACTTGACCATGCATAGTTGAGCTTATATTTAAAAATCATACTTTCTTTTATATAAGTAAAATATATTAGAAAATCGCTCCAATGGGAAACACACACCCGTGTACAACTTCAAGAAGACAAAAAACCTTTAATCTCTCAAACTATCCACAAACTCAACTATATCCTCCAAGGATTTACAATGATGCCCTAAAACCCACAAAATCAAAGTGCACAAAATGGAATATTTAAGCCCCCAAATAGGAAAGAAACCCCATCTCCCCTATTTCTCTCCCTCCACAACCCCCACCAAAAACAAAAGGGAGTGACTCTCCAAACATCTCAGGTCTACCCACCCACGATACATGTAACAGCCCTCATCCTACCTAGACACAATATTGTTTGTTTTTGACTCCCCCGGACCAAAGACTTCCCAGGGGTCACCCATCTTGGTATCACTCCAAGTTAAGCACACCTAACTCCGGAGTTCTGATGGGTTCACAGCCATCATGGTTTTAAAACGCGTTGTGTCATAGAAGGGTGTTGAACCTACATATAGCACTTCCCCTTCCCCAGGCAATGTGGAATCATGACACGATATAGCCTGCCAGTGCCCACCCACAGAGGTCGTCACAATCACCCTTCCATGGGGTCCAACGTCCTCATTGGCCACACTTCCGGCTGGGTTCCGGCTCTTATACCATTTGTAATAGCCCTCACCCTACTTAGACACAATATTGTTCGCTTTTGGCTGCCCCGGACTAGAGACTTCCCGGGGATACTCCAGGTTAAGCCCGCTTAAATCCGGAGTTCTGATGGGCTCATGGCTTTAAAACGCGTCGTGTCATAGAAGGGTATCGAATCTACATATAGCACTTCCCCTTCCCCAGGCGATATGGGATCATGACACCCTGTAGCCTGCCAGTGACCGCCCACAAAGGTCGTCAAAATACAACCTGTCCAAGTCTCAAGCACGCTCGTGTAATCCGGCATAACTAAAAAAACACCAAACATAGAGAACATCATAGACCAAATATTTGTAGCCACAACAATGCTAGAGAATATGGTCCACGGAGGCTGCATCTCTCTTGCACATGCAACACCAATTCACCACAATGAGGTGCCTCTTCCAAAGGTTGTCTATTGTCAAAAAATTTACCCAAAACCACAGTCCAATCGAAAAAAGCCACGTTGAGGGGTGCTTTAGTGCGTCAAATAGCCTTCCAAGGGAAGGAATGAGGGGCTGCACACACCTCCAGTATAAATACTTTACTTCGAAGCCCCCATGAGTAGTTCCTATCCAAAGCCACTCATCATTTCCATCAACCAGGAACCACCACTTGTTGGCAATACAACAAAGCCAAAAGCTCCACAACTCCTCCACCTCCCAATGTTGCACATATTGCTCCAGCTGAATGTCCCAAATCAACCTCCTATCATCAAGGCAATAACAGTGGGCAATCAAGGTCTGCTTGTTCATTGCTAGACGATAGTGTCTCGAGAAAGTGCCTGCTGATAGGCAATCCCTCCACCAAATGTCCTCCCAAAAGAGGATAGACATCCCACTCCTCACCCTAAATCGAATGTGCTTGGAAAACTCATTCCAACCCTTCCAAATAAGCTTCCAATCCCCCACTCCAGCTGGTCATATCACCTCTTTCGAACACCAACCGCCCCTATCCTCCCCCACCTTGCACTGAATGACCCTTCTCCAAACCCTATCCCTCTCCACCCCATAGGTTTTATTAAACAACACAATCCTCCTAATCCATAAACCCCTAGCCTGAATCAGGCCACAAACCTTCTCCCAATTCACTAAAATGATATTTCTCTCCACACGTCCTCTTCCATTCTCAACACCACACCATTATTACGAATCCTTCCAACGTGATTTAACAATTTGCTGGACAAGTGCTGTAGTAGTGGTCCATGGATCATACTATGTTTCACAATAATGGCATTGGGTCCTTCTACGTGGTTTTTGCATGTTAAAGTTCTATTAGTCAACCATTTAAGTTTCTAAGAGTTCGAATCTGAAAGGGTTAGAATTAGCAAGAAGTCTATATTTAGCAATGTAATTCTATTGATACAATAGAGAATAAGTTATAAAAAGACTTCCCAGCATTCGTGTGCTTTAAGGACCATGAGATACAAACCCAACTCTAGGCGTGATCTCCAAACTAGTCATCCACTCCAATCTTGGTTGGTTTATTTGTGTGATGTTGAACTTGAACTCTTAAATTGAGCTCCCTAGCAATTCACAGGTCAACACTCAATATATCACATTTACCAATCTAATGCAATACGAATGTTTCAATCCCCAAAGGAAATTGTAATTCCAAATAGATCGATTAAATCGATCGACCAACATGCAACACCATTAGCTTTCGATTGATTGAAGAGCCATATGCTGTCTATTTGGAAAAATTTCAGATTACGGAGCTCCCAAAAACACTTTTATGTAATTCAATTAGGATTTTCCATAATCAAAACAAATAATCATGAAACCTTAATCTATGAATACATGAACCCTAATTTTTGGTGAGTGCATTTAGTAGTATCAAATTATCAATTTACCTTTTGTACCCTTGGTGTTGAAGATTACGCTTTTGCCCTTGACTAAAATTCATTTCCAACTTCGACCATGTCCAAGAGGTAACTAACTTGACATTAACTAAATTTTAAAAATCAAGGTAAACTAAAAATAAAAACAAAAATAGAGACTCTAGCTTTGATCACGAAATATGCCAACCTAAGTCCTATTGACTCGTACCCTTTTTGCAATTAATGTCAAATAATGAATCACAATTTAATAGGACATATAGTTTTCACGCAAAGAGAGCAACAACTATAATAAATTGAGATCAACACAAGCAGAAGTGGTTGCCCTCATTTGCTTAATTGAACCATACTCTAGCTTCCAGAGTGATTGTGCAGCATGGATTATCTCCTAAATTCTAACTTCAAGGTAAGTAATCTATGTTTTCTCTACCCCCATTGTACCTCATTACTAACTATCAACAGTTACAAACTTGTCTTTTCTGGATGTCCCACAATCTACTTTGAGTAGTAGAAATTTGAAGTTCTGCATAATTCTATATATATATATATATATTCAAATTGAATGTGTTGCATATGTGAATGAATAATTAGTTTCAAAACTTATATTTTCAGCTTATGCGTGAATGCATCAGATTATTGTCTCTTTGCAAAGTTGGAATTTTTAAGATAAGCAAATAATTTTAAGAGAAAAACAAAAGGCCACAAAGGACCTCTAAGCCTTCAAAGAAGCAAAGTGACG